AAGGGAAGGTATATGTTTGCCCTGTTTGCCCTCTGTAGATCTTCCTCAACTTGCAATGGGGTGACCCCCCCCAATAAATCTATCATGAGTGGAAAGCAACTGTAAACTGAAAATGCATTTAATACACCTAACTTACCGAACAGCACAGCTTAGCTTGGCGTACCTTAAACTCCCAGAACACGTCCAGTAACCCACAGTTGGGCAGAAGCATCCAACACAAAGCCTATTTTATAACAAAATGTTGGTTGTCTCGTGTACTTTATTGAATACTGTACTGAAAGTGGAAAACAGGACGGTCGTATGGGGACAGCATGGCCTTCAGCATATCCGTCGTGAACCCTCATGGTCGCGTGGCTCCCTGGGGGTTACGGCTGCCACGCATCGCCAAGACTGTCCAATTCAAAATCTGAGGTGTGGTTTATCACTTTTGCAGGGTCGTAAAGTCGAAACATCGTAAATCGGGGACCGTCTGTATCGTATTTGGTAAAAGTTTCCAGGCAGTGGTTCTCCCTTGCCCAACCAGGAAGGGTGTTTTGGAAAATGGCGCCCTGCTATGCCTGGTGAACCAGAACCACCCCACCCCAGATGGGGCCCGGGCACCCATGGCTTTGTTAAAACCCTTGACTCTGATGCATCAGGAGGACTGGGTTTTTCAGGCGAATCGTCTCAGGTGATACTCACACCTCTGTGGGTTGACGAGGGTTTGATGGCCCCCTTCGTGCCAGTGAGGCTGGGTGGAGGCAAGTTTGCCTCCACCATGCAGCTGGAAGCCAGGGTCTGCATGTCCCACTGACCAGGACGATGGCCCCGCTGGGCCTCATGCCCCGTAGCTAGAGAGGCCTGATGCGTCAGTTGCAGGGTCTCCCAGACGGAGGCGCGCTGCGGTCCCTGGGCCCCAGGAAAGCTCCAGAGAGAGCCCCTGACAGTGACATCTCTTTCCTGGAGAGACCGCCAGGCCCGGCTGCTGTGATGGCCGGTGTCCACCAGAGGGCGCCATGGCCCGGCGCCGCTCAGCTGGGCTCCGCTCTGCGAACCCAAATGCTTTTTAATTGAAAATTTTTTTAATTCAAAAAGGATTTGCTGTTTGTACGCGAGTGCAGGTTTTCCTTATGCAGGAGACTAATGTCTTGAGTAAACAGATCCGGGCCCAAATCCACCTTCAAAGGTACTCGCTGTTTGCCCAAGGGAGTGAAAGGCCTTCCAGAAGCGGCCCTAGTCTCTTGGGCAAACACTTTGGGGCCAGCAATCCCGAGCAGAAGACAGTGTCTGTGGGAAGGGTTATCCGCAGCCTAAGGGGGATTATGTCTGGGGACATATGTTGAAATTTCATTTGGGGAGTTAGAGAAAACAAGAGGTTGGGGGGTGGGAGGGTAAGGCTTTTCTCCAGCCAAGATAACCTAAAAAGGGAAAGCTCCTAAGGGTAGGAGTGGGGGGACAGCAATCTGTGCGCTGCGCTGAGTCCTGGCCCCCTGGAGGGGGGAGGGGCGGGCGCAGGCTGTGAATCCGGAAAAGGCAGCACACTCGGGACTTCTCGGTGCTTCATTTGAGAGGGGCCTTCTGTCTGCTGCCCCCAGGCATGGCCTCAGGGCAGCCGAAGTAAAGCCCCCAGCCTCCCCACCCCCAGCTCCCTCCAGCCCAGTCCTAATGTCTCTAGCCCTCTGCTTTCTACCCGCTCCCACCCACATCCACTCCTCCGTCCCCTTGGTTGGGCCACAGAATTGTCTGAACTGGTCCCCAGAAACAGCAGCGGCAGGTCACCTGGGAGTTGGTTGGAAATGCAGAATCCTGGGCCCCAACCCAGGCCTTCTGAGAATCTGCATTTTACCAGGCCCTCCAGGGACTTCTGCGCAGTAAAGGCGGATCAACCCGCTCCAGCACTTGCCCGGGTGCCCCCCTCCCCACCCCTGAGGTGCGGCCGCACCCACCACACTGGCCGCTCTCCAGCCTTCGCCAACCGAGAGCTGCTCCTGCTGAGGCCACGGGGGGGCCGGGGGGCGGTGCTGGTTAATGACGGTCTCCCGAGCCTGTGCCCGCCCTCCGCTCCCCTCCCTGGCCCACTCCAGGTCCTCCACGCCAAGCGCCAGGCCTGTCCTCAGCCTCTGAGCCTGTGTGCATCTGCTAAAACCTCTCTCCATCATCACTCCAGCTACCCTTCCCCTCACCACCGCATCTCCAGTGCTCCCAGTTCCCGACCTTTGGTCCCTGGTTCCATCTCTCCCCAGCCAGGCGGCTACCCTGGAGCCACGGGCAGAAATGCACTCATGTTCTCCCCCAACCCGCCCGCCCTCCTGTGCTGCCCAGGTGGGTTAGCAGCGCTGACGTGCCCCTGCCCTGCTGCCCTCGTGGGGCTCCCGCCCGACCCTGGGGCCTAGCACCGGGGGAAGAATGTGGTGGGCGCTAATGGAGCCCAGGGAACCTTTCCTGCCGTGATGCACCCAAGCAGCCACCAGGTGGCGGTATCGTCCCAGACTTTGCCCGGAGGTCTCCTCCTCTGGGGCTGTTCCACTGGGCCAGCCTCGAGCTGGAGCCCAGGCGTGGCCCGTTGCCCTGGTCATCGGGGAGCAGGCTGGGAGCTGCTTTGTTAGATTTTCCTAAGTAGCCAGCAAATGTGTCTGGTGACAGCAGTGTGCAGGGTCTTAATCTGCGATAGCTCACCCCATCCCCACAGCCAGCCCCGGGAGCAGATTGTGATCCCACTTTTTTATTGAGGTATAATTGACAGAGAACATTAGTTTCAGGTGTACAATATAATGAATCCATATTTGTATATATTGCAAAATGACCATAACATGTCTAGTTCACATCTGTCACCATGGTTACAAAATTTTTAACCTTTAAGATTTACTCTTAGCAGCTTCCCAAGATGCACTGCAGTATTAACGATTGTCAGCCTGCCGTATGTGGCATCCCCCGGACTCATTTTACAACTGGAATCTGTACCTTCGACCCCCCTCCCCTGGCAACCCCGTCTGTTCTCTGTACCTGTAAGTATGGGGGGGTTAGATTCCACATATAAGTGAGGGCACGTGGTCTTTGTCTTTCTCGGACTTATTGCGCTTCACATGCCGCCTTCAAGATCCATCCGTGCTGTTGCAAATGGCAAGATTTCTTTTTTTATGGCTGAGTAAGTCCCACTGCATCTCTACGCCGCGTCTTCATCCCTTCACCTGTTGTCCGACACCTAGGGACCTGTCGTCCGACACCTAGGGTTTTCCCACGTCTTGGCTGTTGGAGATACTGCCTCAGTGAACGTGGGGCTGCAGATATCTTTTTGAGTTAGTGTTTTTGTTTTGTTTGGATAAATTCCCAGAAGAGGAATTGCTGAGTCCTAGGGGAGTTCTAGCTCTGATTTTGTGAGGACCTTCCATACCGTGTTTCACGCCGGCTGCACCCGTTTGCATTCCCAACAGGGCCAAGGGTCCCTCTTTCTCCACATCCTCACCAATACTTGTTACTTCTGACCGTGGCCCTGGTTCAGAAAGGAGCGCTCAGAGGGTCAGAGAGGAGCAAAGACCTGCCCGAGGTCACCCTCCAAAGTCAAGTCCTTCCCTCCCGCCCCTTCTGGTGATAGACGACGTCTGTAGGCACCACCGTCCTATCTGCGTCGCGCGGCCCTTTGGCTCAGGGGCCGCTTGAGGCTCTTCACGCCTGTGGTTCACACAGAGACAAGACGGGGCTCAGCCCCAGTCTGTGCTGGTTCGGCCCCGTGGGGCCCTCAGGCAGGGGCGGCTGAGGACACAGTGCTGGGCAGCGGGGTCCGCTGGCTGCCTCCTCACCATTTCCACTTGAGGGGAAAAACCCTCAAAGGGCTGTAGCTGCCCCTCATTCTTGACTGACTGCTAAAGCCCTCAGCGCTTAGCTGTTCTGTGGCAGGCAACGTCCTTGGGGGCGGGAGGGGGAGGCAGCCAGGCTTCCTGTCACCCTCCCCCCCCACCCCTGCCCCGTGTCCCTGAGGAAATAGCTTCCTCGACCAGGGCAGCTCCACTTTGCTCTTACAGGGAGGGCCCTTTTTAGGGCAAGTCTGCTAAAAAGTCTTGGGATAGGATTTAAAATGTTTAACCACCATTGACCTCATCTAAGCTGCTCGTTCCTAAAGCCCTGGGACCGCACGGCTGCTGTGGCATATAGTGTGCCAGGCCCTGCCCCCGACCCCACAGCCCAGCTCTGCTGCAGGGCCCCCCTCGCCTGTGCCTGCTCTTCCGCCCGGCCCACCAGCCCCACATTTGGACAGTGCCATCCCTCCTGGCCCTCGGGGCAAGCTGCAGGCGGTCCCCCTTCCCCAACAGAAGTACTTGCCTTTGAATTTCCATCAGACTCGAGAACCTACCTTTACACATTTCCATGACCTAGAGTCAGGTAAGCTTCAGTCTTCAGCATGAGGTGGGACAGGGGACAGGTGTGCCCCTCCAGGGACCGCCCTGGCCCAGGCTGGGTGGCTGGTGTGGGGGTGCTGCCCTCTTGGAGCCTCGGGCCCTCATCGGTTGAGGACAGCCACACCCCTTCAGGGAGCGGCGCTGGAACTCAGGAGAGTACACGCACGTGTGGGGTGCTGCCCCCCACCTCCCGGGGTCACCTAGCATGTCAGCAGGCGTGCCAGGAGGCACCGAGTCCAAGGGTCCCCTGGGCCTGGTGGCTGTGGCTGGCCTCGGGTCAGGTGGGGGATGGAGTTCCAGAGCAGTCCTTTACCTGGCCTGCGACCCCTCTCCCAGCAGACAGCCTGGCCCATGGTCAGCTCGTGGCTTCGGGCACCACGGTCCCTCCTTAACAGTTAGCAGAGCAGGGACTGTAAATGGAATCCCTCATCACAAACTGGGGGGCCACCTGCAGCCGCAGAGGTGTGTCTCTACATCCCCCCCGCCACCGCACCCAGAGGGCGCCCATTTCTGTGCACGCACACTTGGCAAGGTGGCACCAGGGCCCCCGCCGGGCCCGAGGCCTGGGACTGCTTCTCTCTGCTGTTCTCACACTGACCCTGCTGCTCTGTCCTCTCCCTCCTCCAGTATGAATACAGCTTCCGCACGGAACAGAGCGCTGCTGCCCGGCTCCCGCCCAGCCCCACTCGGTGTCAGCAGATCCCCCAGTCCTGAGGGCCCGGCCACCACCCTGGCCCCGTGTGGAGAAGACGCTGCTGCCCAGACTACTGAGCGCCCCTCCCTCGCCCAGGCCCTCCTGCCCGCCCACCGTGGGGCTCATCCGGGAGACCCTGGGCAGCTGGGCTGTGGCCTCCGCTTGCCTGACGGGACACCCCCGCCTCCCTGGAGACACTGTTCATAATCTGGACTAATCTGTGTTTGCTGTAGTGACCAGCGGCTCCTAACGTGTCTGTGTGGCGACCAACCCTCCCACGAACAACCCTACCCACCGCGGGAGTCACCCCTGAGGGCCCCGCACACTTGCGGGAGCTGCCCAGTGACGCCTCGGGCCCCCTTTCCTCCTGTTGCCTGCCACGACGCTATCCGTTTCCTTCTGGAAGCCCCGGGGCGGGTGGCAGCTGTGCAGAGCCCCCTCCGGGCCTCACCGCGGGCCCCAGACCCGGGGCTGCCGTGGAACAAGTCCCTCACGCCAACAGCAGCGAGCGCCCTGCGCATTTCACGGCGACGCGGACGACACACAGGAGGAAGAAGCCCATCGTCCCCAAGTGGCCCCGAGCCTGGGTCCCTGCCCCAGTGGTGGCCCCGCTAAGGTGGGGGAACAGCCGCCCGTTTGCCCACACAGGGGACTTGCCTTCTGGGCGAGAAGGCGGAGGGACCTGGTGCTTGCTCGGAGGCGAGTCTCGCTGCCCAGGACACTGTGCTCACCCCCACACCCCCGTTCCTCCCAAAGGGCTCATCTCTGCAATGCCCACGTGCCAACTGCCGTGCCAGCCGCCTCAGTGTCCTGGCCCAGGGACGGGCCCGCCCCCGGCCGCGGGTGAGAAGACACTCAGCCAGTGCCCAGCCCCAGAGGGATGCGGGGACCGGGTTAGCTCGCTCCTCAGAGCCCGGCTGCATCGTGATGCGCTCTGCAAACAGCAACAGTTGTTTCAGGAAGTCCACATGAGCCAGGCCACCGAACTGGGCCAGCGTGGACATGTCTGCCACAACCAGCCAGTGGACGCACAGGCACTTCTCACCCTGCCGGCTGCCGAGTTCAGCTCCACACATGTTTGCCATGAGAACAGGGCTGCCGCCGTCCCTGGGGCCTCGGGCCCTCCCCCCGGTGGCCTGCCTGGTCTAGCTCTCAGGATTGGTCTTGAATTAGTTCCACAGAATGTTGGTCTCTCCCCTCTTGGGGGTCCCCAGATGGTGGGAGCTTTGGACATGTGTCTGGAAGCTGGAGGGGGGCGCTTGGAGAATGGGAAGGGTCCCCCACCACGAAGGGAGCCCAGGAGAACCATGGCCGGGGATGGACCCCACCTCCCTGGGGCTCCTGGGATGGCTCGTGTTGGCCGGGGCACTACAGGCCAGCACTGTGAGGAGGGTGGCCGCTGGCTAAGAAGTAGGGCGGACAAAAATACCTCATGTACCTTCATGGGCCCCGCCATCTCCAGCAGCTCCACCCGCCCACCTGGGTCGCCCGTGGATCATTCGATACCTCCTGCTCTCTGTGCATTAGGGAAGTGGTCGCCTCTCCCTGCCTTCACCCGGATCTGAGGACGTCCCTGGTGGGGCCGGCCTTCCTGGGCCTCCCACACAGCAGAGTGGCAGGAAAATGCAGGTAGTGGGTGGAACCCCCAGGGGGCCACAGGCTGGAGCCAGCAGTCCATCGGAGGACCCTTGGGGATTGGTGCTTAACCAGGAGAGGAGAGAGCTCTTGAACTGGTCTCAGATGTCCCCACTGAAATAAGCTAGTCGTCTTTCTGGGGAATTGGAGCCCCGTGGGGCCCAGAGGACCCGGGTCTACTGCTGCTTTTTGGATGGGTGGCTGGTCCAGAACCAAGTGACCCATGTGACCTGAAGCCCCACAGAGAGGGGCAACTCTGATTACTCCTCTTCACTTGGTTTGTGCACTTTGCTCACGGCCTGATTGTGAGATCGTCATCTGACAGTGCCTGGTGGCCCTTGTCTGACAACTGGGCATTTTAGCAGAGGTGTCCAGAGACGTGCGCACGGGAGCCCGAGTCCAGGTGCACGAAGGCAGAGCCGGGCCGGGAGGGTGGCTGTCCGGGGAGGAGGAGGGTGCGCAACCTCCCGAGCCCCCAGGCCGTCCTGCAGATAGGGGATGGACCAAGAGCAAGGCCGGGCCGGAGGCCACCAGGAGGCGGACAGAGCAGCTGGGCTTGGATAAGCTGTGCCACCTCCACCACATCATAGACAGAAGCTACGTGTGACAGTGACTGTTTGTACCCCTGAACCACCCTTAGACAAGTTAGACAGTGACCAGGGTAGATTGCAGGCTGCTCTTTGCCCTCTTTCCTGGCCTTCTGGGGGGGGGGGGGGCAGCCCGCCGTGGGACAGTAGGCTGGGGGGGGCACGTGGGGGCTTGTGTGGATTGCAGGACAGCCAGGACCCCTGGCTTGTGCCTGGGAGCGTTTCTGCACCAGCGCTGGGGTCCCGTGGGGAGGGGACGACGAGGGTTCTTGGGAAGGGCAGCAGCCTGGCCCTCGGCCCCCCAGCACTCCCTGCTGCCGTCCCCCCTCAAAAAGACTAACCAGAGCACAGCTTCCCTGTTGTCTTTCCTTTTCCCTCTGAAAATTCAGTCTCCCTCCAAAGCCCTTGGAAATGGCACAAAGGTAACAAGGAGTAAGTTGTTGACTTCATGTCCACTCACAAATTTGTTTCAAGGCTTTTTCCCCCACCCCGGGTCCAGGAACTAATCTGGGCCACAACCCTCTTCCACTTGGGGGGCTGGGAGCCCCGGTGGTGGAGGCAACAGGTGTCCCGACCCCCCACCTCCCTCGCTGGAAGTCCAGACTGCCGCCCCCGACACGCCCCTGTCCGGTGTCCTTCGGGACACCCTCCCGGGGCAGGCGACAGCAAGGACTCACCCACACCGAAGCCCCTGCTCCTTGCCAGGCCCTAGGCCGGCACTTTAAGCACATTTTCTCCTGTTGTTCCCCTTAAAAAACACACACCCAGAAGCGGATGTTTGTTGCTCCTTGTGGCAGCTGAAGCAGCGGAGGCCTGTCCGCCTCGGACACGGGGCACAGGGCAGGCACGGGGCGGGCACGGGGCAGAGCCGGAATCTGGAACCGGGTCTCGTCTCACAGCCGCCCCACCAGCAGGCCCGTCACAAGCACATGTCCAGTAAAGACTTCCCAGCACCACCAGCCACGCTGGTTCTAGCATGATCAGCCGCCGCTGCACGGCGCCATGGTGCTCAGCATGGGGCAGGAGCCCGCCTGCCCGCTCGCTCCACCCCAACCAGGGCCCCCGGACACCGGGAGCCTGAGGGCCAAGCAGGTGCATGCCTGTGGGGGCCAGAAGCCGAGCTCATCTGACTCGGTTCACCGTCCGCCATGCCCTCGGGACCTGGAGGGGATGGCCGGGCCCCCACCCCACCCAAGCAGCCTGGCACCCCTGGGTCAGCCCCTCTTTCTTCGCCCCTTGTGAATGCCACCCGGGAGTGGCCGTCGCCCCCAAGACAGGGCTTCTGTTCTCCCAGCAGAAGGCATGGGAGCTGCCCTGGGGCCGCACGGGGCCGGGGCCAGGCCACTGTGCACTCGCCCTAGGAACGATGTCCTTACCGTATTTATTTGAGGTGACTCTTGTATTTGGCAAAGGGAAGTTTCACTGTGTGATTGTCTGTCTTAATATAATTTGTTAAATAAACGTTTGTTTTAACCTTTTCTCGGTTTGCTGCTGTGGTGCTACCTGAGTGAGGTCAGAGTCCCTCGGGGGAGGCTCCGGGCCCCAGCGTCCTCCCCAGCTCATCCGTAGCTCATCCCGAGTCCTCCCCAGCTCATCCCCAGCGCCCTCCCCAGCCCATCGCAGATGCTGGCAGGGCCAGCCGAGAGCCACCACCGGGCCTCCCAGCCCGCCAGAAAGCGCTGGTGGGCTTCTCTGCCCCCATTAAGTTGAGAGACCTGGGTACAAGCCAGCGGAGTTCAGGAGGGCAAAGCAAGCCCTGTCCTTCTCTGGGAACAGCCCTCAGGAATGCTCCTTGAGGAGAAAACCCCCGTCACCACGAAAGCACGTGAAACACGTGTGCTACAACAGGCCGCCAGCAAGGAATGCAGGGGTGCGCTTTCATGTGCGCCGGGCCCGGGGCCCTGTCTGCGCAGGGCTCAGAGCCGGCAGGCTGCTCGGCTGCTCAGGAGGACATGTGGCCCCCACGGTTTCAGGCCCCCCCTGACTGTTCACCTGCGTGCAAGATGCCCCTCCGAACACCGGGGAAGGTACCAAAGGGCCGCAGGACACCGCCCGGGGCTCCTTGTGAAGCCCTGTCAGTTCAGGTTTCACTGTCAAAGCTCTCTGCCTCCTTTAGAAGTGACCTTTGCATTTTTGGGCTAGACGTCAAGAGTCTGAGCTGTCACTGCCTCCGGCCCTGTTTATGCCAGACTCAGAATGGGGCCACCTTTAGCTCAGCTCTCATGAGGACCATGAGAGCTCCCAAAGTGTCCATGCCTCCAGCCCAAGACGCCCACCTCTGCCAGCTCTCGGGAGAAAGGGAAAGCAGCTCAGAGAATTTCATGAGAAACCCACAAAGCACACTCCACGTGGAGTTTGAAGAGCTAGATTCAGATTCTGGCTCTGCCACGGCCTGGCCATGTGGCCTTCAGCCAGTTACCCAGCACCCCCAGAAGGGGGACACCGCCTCCCTCCGTGGCTTGCCCCGGGAAGATGGAATGAGGACGCCCGCAGGGCACCGAGCATAAGCAGAGACAGAAGGACCCGCCAGGTCTTTGGGGCCAGGCTTCTGTGTGGCCATCCACACTACTGAGTCCCTACAAGTGCTGGGTCTCAGCGGGGTGCAGGTGATGGCCTCCGGCACCCAGGACACAGAGTCTGTTTGCAAGAGGCCTCATGCTCGGCTCGGGAAGGCAGACAAATGGATCCCCCAGGGCCCCAGGGGGAGGCACCTCACTGGCCTTTGGGCAGCAAGAAACCAAAATCTACTCGCAGCAGCCTAGGCCAGGGCAGGGTTCATGGCCAGACCCAGCGCCTGTTTCTCCTGTTCTTGCCCACACTGCCTCCGCCATTATTTTCTCTTCTGGCTGCTCCTTTCCCAATTCTGCCCCTTGACATGTTTCACCTGGATTACAGCATCAGCCCCTTAACCATTCCTGCCCACCCCACCCCACCCCCACCTCCAGGGTCTTCCTCTCCCATCCATCCGCCTCAGAGTCACCCAACGGGGCTCCTCCACTTACAATGCTTCACCCCTTACCCTAAGAACAAGATCGAAGCCCCTAAGGTTTCCCCAGCACCACCTTTCTCAGTCTGACCCCGCCTCCTGTCCCAGCCTCACCTCCTGCAAATCTCTGATGGATTATTTGTGATTTCGCATACTCTAAACTCTGTACTTCCTTGCCTTTGCATATGCTATTCCCTCTACCTAGAATGCTTTTCCCTCATTTTTCTGCCTGGCCAAGTCCTGCTCACCCTCTAAGACTCTGCTCATACACCTCTTATGTGATGTCCTGCCTGATCCCTTGGAGGCAAAGCTAACGTTCCTCCCCTTCAAGCCACTCCACACCTTGTACACTGGAACCACTGACCCAATGGCAACACTGCAGCCCTTTGATCCTTTCATTAGATGATCTGCTCCGGAAGGAAGGGGTACAGTCTCATGTAGGACACCTTCCTCTATAGCTACACCCATATGCAAATAAAGCACCTAGCACAGGCCTAGAATAAAAAACAGGCATGAGCAAATGCTCCTTGAATGAATTCCTCAAAGTAGGTGGGGAGACAGTTGGGCTGGACTCCACTGCTGAGCAGCCCAAGAAGAATGGGCCCCAGTGGCACCTGCTGCGAGGCTTGTGACCACCCCAGGGACTGTGATGACCAGCAGCAGCCCTCCCTGGACAAGTCCTAATGCTGGCCCCAAAGAGGCCAGAGACCAGAGTGAGAACTGGTCCCTCACCTGGCCCATCTCTGAAGCCACGGCATCCAATAAGATCCATGATGGGTGTGTGGCAGGAAGACAAATGGCCATGGGCTGCTGGTTCTCCCCCTCAAGCCCAACTTATGGGGCTGCCACAAAGGAAAGATGATCAATGGATCACAGGAGCTAGGAGGGGCTTGGTTTTGGGGAAGAGCAGCAGACCAGAGGGAAAGATGGCCAATGCCACAGATGACATGGGGAAGCAATTTGCTGGCTATGCTCATTCATCTCTCTCTCTCTCTCTCTCTCTCTCTCTCTCTCTCTCACACACACACACACACACACACACGGGTGGGTCATTTCATCCTTTCTCCCCCAAAACAGGAGCTCGGCTGACCCCTGAGCTCCCTCCTCCCCTCACCCCACACTTTGGGCCAGGTAAGTTCAACCAGAGACATGAGTCTTAGGAAAAGTGGTGCTGGGAAGAGGTCTTGGCCATTTCCATGAGGGTCTGGATCTCCTGAAGGGGGAGGGCACATAGGCAGACATTGGCACAGTTGAACACTCAAGGCACATCCATCCCCCTGTCTTCCTCTGGAGGGAGCACAAAGTTTCATGACCTTAACTGCATGATAGAACCACCTATAGAGTTTTTAAAACTTCCTGTGCCCAGACCACACCTAGATCTGTGAAATCAGAGTCTCTGGAGGAGGACCCATGAGTCAGTCTTCTTCATTCTCCCCAGGTGATGCCAATGTACAGCTGAGATTAAGAACCACCAAGCTGTGGGCTTTAACCACATCCCTCAGTTACATGTTACCAGCAGTGAAGCTTAGAGTCCTCAGGAATAAATCCATGGGAAAAAAACAGACTCCAGAAGAGCTGGTCCACCAAAAGGAAGATAAGACACTGACCAACCAACACCAGAAGAAGAATAGTCCAGACAGAACATGAATTTAATATAAACAAAAACTATCCCCCCGAGAGAGAGGAGGACACTGGAAACATTAGGGTCTTATTCAAAACAACCTGCTCCTGCCCATCATGAAATACTAACAGGCCAGAGAGGAAAAGAAACTGATAAATCAACAATTACACTTGAAGATTTTACTATGCCTCTCCTAGAAACTAGCCAAATTGATAACACATGAGCAAATACAAGGCAAGCATGACCTGATACCAAAACCAGACAAAGACACCACAAGAAAATGACAAACCAATATCCCTGGTCAACACAGATGCAAAAATCCTTAACAAAACATTAGCAAGCTGATTTCAACAATGCACTACAAGGATCATGTACGATGATCAAGTGGGATTTATTCTAGGAATGCAAAGATGGTTCAACATCCATAAATCAATCAATACTATACCACATTAATAAAACAAAGGATAAAATAGATGCAGAAAAAGCATTTGACAAAATTCAACATCATTTATGATTAAAAAAAAAACTCTTAACAAAGTGGGTATAAAGGGAATGTACCTATACGTTCCTATACCTATACATTGTCTATATCATAATAATGGCTTTATAGGACAAGCTCATGGCTGACATACGCAATGGTGAAGAGCTTTCAGGGATAGGAGCTAAACAAGGATGCACACTCTCACCACTTTTACTCAACATAGTATCAGAAGTCCTAGCCAGAGCAATTAGGCACTAAAGAGAAATAAAATACATCCAAATTGGGAAGAAAGAAGTTGTCATTATTTGCAGACAACATGATATGATAAAAAACCCTAAAGACTCCACCAAAAAACTGTTAGAATAAATGAATTCAGTAAAGTTGGAGAATACAAAATCAATATACAAAAAAATCAGTTGCATTTCTACACACTAATAAGGAGTCATCACAAAGAGAATTTAAGAAAGCAATCCCATTTGTAAATTGCATTAAAAAGAATAAAATACCTAGGAATAAATTTAACTAAGAAGGTGAAAGACCTGTACACTAAAAATTATAAGACACTGATTAAAGAAATTGAAGAAAACACAAATAAATGGAAAGATATTCCATGTTCATGGATTGAAAGGATTAATATTGTTAAAATGTCTGTACTTCTCAAAACAATCTCCAGATTCAATGCAACCCCTATCAAAATTCCAATGGCATTTTTCACAGAACTAGAACAAAGGATCCTAAAATTTGTATGGAATCACAAAAGACCCAAGTAGCAAAAGCAATCTTGAAAAAAAAAAAAAAAAAAAAAAAAAAATTGGAGGCACCATGCTCCCTGGTTTCAAAAAATATTACAAAAATTTAAAAAAAAAAAAAAAAAACCAAATTAACAAAAAAAAAAAAAAAAAAAAAAAAAAAAAAAAAAAGAAAGTTGGAGGCACCATGCTCCCTGGTTTCAAACTATATTACAAAGTTATAGTAATCAAAACAGTATGGTATTGTCATAAAACAAATACATACAGCAACAGAATAGAGAGCCCAGAAATAAACCCATGCATATATGGTCAATTAACTTATGCCAAAGGGCCAATAATATACAATGGGGAATGTACAGTCTCTTCAATAAATAGTGTTGGGAAAACTGGACAGCCAAATGCAAAAGAATAAAACTGGACTTTCTTCCACCATACTCAAAATTGTTCTTTACACTTTCTTACACCATACACAAAAATTAATTCAAAGTGAATGAAAGACTTAAGTGTAAGTCCTGAAACCATGAAACTCCTAGAAGAAAGCATAAGCAGTAAGCACCATGATATCAGATGTCTTTGCTTTTGGAATCTAATCAAAAAACTCCTCACAAAGGCAACAAAAGCAACAATAAACAAGTGGGACT